AAAAAAAAGTTCAACAGAGACAAACTTCAAACAAAGGATACCACCGCATATATGCGTGATAGAGAGTGATGACGACAAGAGTTGGTCAATTGTGAGTCCTGACAATGACAACAGGCGACACCACCTGCCGCTTCCCGTCTGACCAAACTATCTTCCCGTCCACATCTCCGGGAAAACCTGTTGCGGTTATAGTCACGCTGTAATTTTGCTTTTCACCCTTGCTTGTAAAATCCATTCTCATCGGATTTACCGTCAGATACACCCCTTCTGGATTGGTGACCGTCACAGTGTAAGTAGCATCATCTTCACCGACATTTGTCACGGTCCTTTTAACCGTGATACCACGATTCGTATCATTAAAACCAATAGAGATGGCTGGATAATTCAGATCCCACTGCTTCACACCTTCAGTGCAATTGTATCCGTAAGTTATATAACCCAAAGCGCAGAGGAAATCCACATAACCCTGCGGGTTGATATCGTAGACTAATCCTGGATCATGGGCTTTACTAGGGTCAATGTGACCTGCACCCATATCGGAGGTTGTGGACTTTGTCCCATCATGATCATTAATTATCGGCTTGCGATCGTTGGCTTGGGTGTAAGCGGTGGTCATGATGGCGGAGCGGATCATGGCTGGGGACCACTCGGGGTGGGCTCCCTTCAAGAGAGCGGACAACCCAGACACGTGCGGGCAGGCCATGGATGTGCCCGAAAGAATTTTGAACTCGACGCCCTCTGGCCATGCCGCTAGGATGTTGACACCTGGCGCCAACACGTCGGGCTTCATAACATATGATGAAAGAGGATTAGGGCCTCTGGAGGAGAAAGAAGCTACCGCTGGAGCTGGCTCGACCCCGAGTTCCACACCGTAGAATTCCATCGTGGCTTTTATGACCGTGTTTCTTGTTGCGTTGATAAGGTCATAGATCTTACTTCCGTCGGACTCGGTAATGACGAGGCCAGGAATCGAAAATTGTTTGGCACTGAGGTCCATGTAGATTGCCACCACGCCAGCACCTCCGGCATTTCTCACATTATCTGTGGCATTGCTGACATCCTCCGGGAAGCAGACCACAATCTTTCCGGAAAAGCGCTGGTCCAATGATAAACAATCCTCTCCATCTGCCAGGGGCAGAAAAGACGAGGTGTCCATGGGGGGCCCACTGTAAAGCGAAGACCCGTGTATCCGCGTACCGTCTTCAAGCACGAGATCAGCCGAGAACACACGGTCGATTGTGCCGGCAGCGACACTCGTCAACCACGGGGCCATATTGGACACACTGCGTCCCGTAGGGCCGCTGTTCCCAGCGGATGCAATGACCGAAACGCCCCTCTCCATGGCACCAAACGCCCCGATCGCGAGGAGGTCCGTATCAAATTTTCTAGGCAAAAAGTCTCCGATGGAGATGGAGATTATGTCGACCCCATCATCCACCGCCTTGTCGAAACCGGCGAGAATGGCGTTACCCGGGCAGCCGCCATCGTCATCGCATACTTTGTAGATCGCAATTCGCGCCTTGGGCACAATTCCGACGGCCGTGCCGAACGCGTTTTCCGAGTAAAAAACGTTCTCGACGGCCCTTCCTGCAGCAATGGACGCCGTGTGCGTGCCGTGACTCACGCCCGTTCCTTCGATAAAACTCCTGGCGCCGATGACTTTCTTGTTGCACAGAAACCCTTTCACCCCTTTCACCGCGCACTCGCCTTTCCATTTCTTGTTGGCTGGGAGGGGTCCGAGGCCCGAGTCGTTGAAGCTAGGGTGGTCGGGCTTGATACCGCTGTCGAGGAATCCGATGATGACGCCCGAGCCATAATCGAATTCGTTCAACAAAGGCACAGCAACGCGGGTATTGTTAGGATCACTGTATAAGCCTAGAAAATAAGGCGTACGGGTCGTGTGTAAGTTGTAAAGCCGGTCAGGAAAACAGCAACGACCCAAGACCACTCTTGAAGCTGTTGGGCTTGCCGCGTGGTCAGTTTAGCGGAGAAGCCATGGAAAACTGTTTTGTAAACATGAACTAGTTTCGAGTTTTGGGGTTTTGAAGGATTCGAGTCTTCCAGGCTTTGAAGGGTGGCCTCATACCAATGTTGGGCCTCTGGAAATACTGATGGTTTCTTGTTATTTTGGACTCTGATAATATATGTCTTAACATCTTCGTCATGAGGATGAACGAAGGCGAGCGAGAGAGTAAGAAAAAGAACAACATGGCCAAGAATATGACCCATCTTTATTTTTTTTTCAAAGAGACTACTATTTAATTAGGGACTGACTGCAAAGGAATTAATTACTTAATGTGATGTCTATATTCTCTTCTTAGATCAAGTTTATATAGGGAGATTATAGTATAGAGAGTGTGCAATGCACGTAAGAAATTCCTTTCCGCGTGATGATTTGAGATGCAAATTTTTCTATTTTTACCATGTGTTGAAAGCAACGCCTAAAATTGTTACCTAATTTGAGTGACATTTTGAATTAATAAAAGAGATCCAAACTGTTTAAAAATTGACTTTTTTCATTAAAATATTATTAAATAAAGTTGTTAAAACTCTACTTTAATAAAAGACACATTTTGACTAAAATATGCGGTACATAATTTATAGACTCATAGTATAGTACAACAAAATTTTATGTTAGTTAACATTATTATTTTTTCTAATTAATTTATTACCATGTTCAAATATTTCAAATCTTGCAATTAAATCCAAATATGAATAAAAATAAAATAATTAAATATTTTTTATATTTTACTATTTGCTATTATGTCCATAAATTCATGTGCAAAATGCATTTTTTGTTTTCTTTAATATTATATTATCTGTTTTAAAGACATTTGAGTAGTTTTATATGCCATGTTATCTGTTCCATGTAAATTTTAAATATTATGTTATATCAACTTTTTTTATTATGACATGTAGCTATGTAATTAGTAATATAAAAATAATATACATTAAGAATTGTAATAAATTTATATTATAATAATTTATACTTAATATTGTACGTTGTGAAATTGGGGATATTATTTCACCACTTTTTTCTTTGTTTTGCATCTCCTTTATTAATTTTTACTTTATTGATAAGTTAATATTTTATTTACCTATTTAAAGCTATTATGAGGTATTATTTTTGAAAGGGTTTTGTTTTGTTAGAATCCTATTTGATTGAGATATTTAATTGACATTATAGTTCATTGAGATACCTAATGGTTATTACAAATTTTCCATTAAACAATACTTATTATAAACAAATATTATATGTCTTCATGAAACTTAAAATGATGATTGTTTTGGAATATTAAGTGATTGCTATTATTTTGCAGGAATACAATTTAATATATATAGTAACCCATATTTTGAATATTAAGTTTTTTTAATGAACTTAAATAGTTTAAGAATTTCAAATTGTTTTAGAAATAAGTTTTACTTTTAACATACACTATAAGTAAAATAAAATAATTATAAATGATATCAAGACAAAGTTCTAGATAAATGGAAGTTCATATTAGTTCATTTGACATGAAAATATTTATTAGTTCGTGCACAATCATAAGATGACACAAATTAAAAAATCTTCGCTCTTTTATTTATATATCAAATTACTAATCGTCGTTTATAGTTTTACTAGTATAGATATATCAAATATATAAGACATATTAAGCAATAAACATTCAACTATTAGACAATAAGTCTTCACATTATTTTTTTTCCATGTTGTCCTTGTTCTATTATATTGTAGTTTTTATCCTTATATTACAATTTATAAGTTTTTGTTTCTTTTTTGAAATTGACTTTTTCGATAAAAATATTATTGAAAAAAGTTTCTAAACTTTACTTTAATAAAAGGTACCTTTTGACTAAACTGTGTAGTACATAATTTATAGATTCATATTATAATAAATAAAATTTGATATTATTTAACATTATTATCCTTTCTAATAAATTTATTACCATGTTCAAATATTTTAATTCTAGAAATTAAATCCAAATATGAATAAATAAATAAAAATAAAATAATTAAATGTAGTATACATTTTAATATTGCTATTATGTTCATAAATTCATGTGAAAATGCATTTTTATTTTCTTTCATGTTATATTATGTGTTGTTGTTATTATTATTATTATTATTATTATTATTATTTTTTCCAAAACGACAAATATTATTATAAATCAAAAGGCACAAAAGCCACCGGCTGAAAAGTGGGAGGACAGATCCGAAGATCGCCTAGAATCCCGACGCTAGCAAAGCTAGAATAAAAAAACACTCGCGACTACACAATAATTAACTAAAAAACCACACAAAAACTACAAACAAAGATCCCACCGGGATACTACAAACAACACAAAACTACAAACAAAGATCCCACCGGGATAATACCCGAGTGTCAGATCCCACCAGGATAATAAATTGACACTCAAACTTATTATTATTATTATTATTATTATTATTATTATTATTATTATGATTATTATTATTAATATTAATATTGTTGTTGTTGTTGTTGTTGTTGTTATTATTATTATTAATATTTTCTCATCTGTCCTACTTGGTACTCTATTTTTTGGAAAAAGGCATTTGAGTAGTTTTATGTCATGTTATTAAATTCATGTAAAATTTACATATTATGTTATAGCAACTTTAATTATTATGACATCCAGTTATGAAATTAGTAATATCAAATTAGTATACATTTATATTTGTAACAAATTTATACTATAATAGTTTATAGTTAATATTGATGTTGTGAAATTGGGGATATTAATGCAATTCAATGTTTTGAAGTAGTTTAAATCTCCTTTATTAATTATTACTTTATTGATAAGTTAGTATTTTGTTTATACTATTTAAACCTATTTTGTTTAGGTTTTATATTTGAAAAAGAGTTTTGATTTTTTTATAATCCTTTTTTATTGAGATATTTAATTTTCATTATAGATTATTGAGATACTTAATGATTATTACATATTTTTCATTAAACGATACATATTTTAAACAACTATTATATGCATTAATGAAACTTAAAATGATGGTTGTTTTGGAATAATAACTGATTGGATTTATATTTCATGTATACTAATTAACGCATATTGTAACTCATATTTTCAATATTAAGTTTTTTCGGTGACCTTAAATAGTTTAAGAAATTCAAAATGTTTCAGAAATAATTTTTACTTTTAAGATACACGATAAGTACAATAGAATAGTTAGAAATGATATCAAGAAACAATTCTAGATAAAATGAAAGTTCATATCCCTATGTGGGCCATGTATGATTCGTTAGTTTATTTGACATGAAAATAACGATTAGATCTTGCACAATCATCAAAAGATGCCACAAATTAAAAATTTAAGAGAATCTTCATTCTTTTATGTATATTAGTTGTAGACTCAAAATATATACTACATGCAATAATTAAGAAAAATTTATACGATGTCTATGAATTTGAAACATTTATGTAATTGTATATAATTATTCCGGTCGTCAATATATGATAATATAAGGATTAATTAAATTTTATTTTAATTAGGCTATTGATACTGTATATTCTTATAAATTTAAAAGTGATAATATAATTATTAATTCGTCAAAACCTATTATTAATAATCATGAAATTTTGAAATTTGAAAAAAAAAAATGTATACAAATTAACAAATATAAATTTTCAAAATCACTAAATATTAAAAAATAGTTACTAAATACAAATTTAGATTTTATTTATATTATATATACCTACATAGAAATCTCCATATTCAGTTTATGGTGTAATCATGTATTTGTTTCATGAGTGATTAACAAAACAATCAAAAGATTTAGTTTCTGATAATGACAATTAGAAATTAATTTGTGTATTTGAAATAATATTTCATAGAATGTAAGTTATTTATTTATTACTTATTTTATATTACAAATATTTTATATTTATATATTAAGTCCGTAAAAGTATATCAATATATTTTTCAAATGTGATATTTTGTAGTTAAAGAAAAAGATCTCTTTTCAAAATTGACATGTTCTATAATTTATTTGAAGTACTCTATTTGCTCTAACAATTATTCTCAACGCCATCGTTTTTTCTCTCTCTACTGTGCGAAAAAATCCCAATCTTATCGTCTTCTTCTTTTAATTTTTTCCGTCGCCTTCCCCGATAGGGACCGGCGAGTGCACGATGGGGCTCAACTGAGCTTCGTGGCCCTTGTCGGTGAAGATGCGCTGCTAGGAAGGAGCTTTTTCGCCGGGGAGATGATCGCGCAGTTTTCCGGCTTCCGCCTCGGGGCTGGGAATGAGTGGCGGGCGACTGTTCTTCCTCCGGCATCTCTGTTGCGGCGGCCTCTGGCGCTCTTCCGGTGAGGGCTGCGACCCCAATTTTCCAATCTAGGGTTTGGGGTGGAGATTTTGTCTGACCATTAGCGTGGTCGTCGACTCTGGTTCGGGGCGTTTGTCGGCTCAGGTAAGGGACGTTGGTCGGCTCTGGTCCTGGCTGTCTGATTCGTTGTCGACGAACCTCGTTCTGGGTGCTGCTTGGCGCTCGAAGGGCTGGGGTTTTGGGTGTCGGTTTCGTTGTCGACGGGCTGGGTTCCAGGTGTTGGTGCGCTCGTTGGGTTGGACTAATTAGCTCGAGACTCGGACCATTGTTACTGACTGTTTGGCTAGACGTTTTGATCTCCGGGTGTCAGTGGAGTTGTTCGGTTGGACGAGATTTGGGCCCGATGGTGTCCGACTCCGTTAGGCGTTCTCTTGCAGTTTCGGGGTCGGACTTTTGGGCCGGGACTCTGCCATTATTGTGCTTGGTGTGATCTCCTGATTAGGGAAGAGCTTTAATTTAGGTTTTTTTGGTGTAGTTTTGTGTTTGTTTGTGTCGTTAATTTGAGTCTGTGTTAGTGTTGTTCTCTGGTCTTGTATTTTAGGTTTGGGTCACTTGGCCCCTGTGCGAGGGATTACTCCGTTGGAGTCGTTCCACATTACCTCGTTTGGGGTCGTTCCGCAGTTAGGTCGTTGGTGTTGTGTTATGGTGAGTTTCTTTTCTAGCGTTGCTAGTCGTCTCTAGGCGGTCTTTTAGACCTGTCCTCCCAGTTTTATTCAGCTGTTGGCTGTATTATTCAGCCATGGGCTGTGTACTTTGCACATTTGTGCGTTTTTGTTATATAATACTTTCTATCGTTTCGTAAAAAAAAAAATATATATATAATTTATTTGACAATTATATTCAATTACTTTTTGTTAACTGAA